TTTAGTGATTGACTAGGTAAGGGCTTCGAAATCCCAGCTTATGAAAAAAATCGAATTTTCGAAGTAAAATCAGTGGTCGGTCCTTTCAGAGACAGCCTCTTAAATGGCGAGACAGAAATGCATGAAGTATAACGAATTTGTGAAGAATCGATAAAACTTTACCCTTTAAGAAATATTAACCTGATTGTCGTATATACCTTGAACGCTGAGCTAAACAACCAATTTACAACAACTTATCCTTGCTTTTAACAATGAATATGAAAACATGTTTTTACAAACCTAAATCTATTACCTCTTTATTTTGCAAATCGAAAATGTAGTTTGCTTTGTCATTTATTTTTAGTTCCACTTTTTATTATCTAGTATATTATTCTCTTTCTTTTGTTTTCTGTAATTAAAAACAGGGCTGTGTTTACAGACAGAGATACGCATTGTATATTTTCAGTCTACCAGAGTAAGGCAGTTTTTGCTGACGTTTTGCCCACCAGCTTGATGTTTAATCAGAATATGACGTAACTAAAGGCCGAGACACACTATGCGACAAATCGCTTCGACACATCGCGGCGACAACTCGCTTTGTCGCTGCGACAAGTCGCCTCTTCTGCGCTGCTGCTGCGACAAGAAACTTGATCGGTGCACGCAAGCGAATTTGGAAGAGGGGAAAAGTGAACAAGCTCCAAAAATAAATATATGACGCTCCTTCATTGGTTGATTTAAATTTTGTCGCAGCGACTTGTCGCAGAAGCGTACACACGCTGTGACAAAGCTGCTTGCGCTTATTTTGTCGCTGCGATATGTCGCACGAATTCAAACCAGTTTGAATTCGTGCAACAGATCGCAGCGACAATAATTTTCACATGTCACAATTTGTTGCAGCAAGCTGTCGCGGCGACGTGTCGCAGCGATTTGTCGCATAGTGGGTCTCGGCCTTAAATGTGACACGCCTTAAATTTAACACCACTTTATGATTGACGGGAATTTTTTCTCACATCAACGCTACTAGGCTGAAAATGTTTTTTTTTTTTATCCGCTGTTTGTTATTTCCTTTCTTTAATTTGATAGAATTGAACAGCTCTGAAGAAAGAAAAATTCTGAATTTTTTGTTAATATGTAAGAGTAAATTGACAAGAAGGTTTGTCGACTAAAACGTCAGCTGATTGTACTTCCTTAGAACATATCTGTGGGATAACCTTCTTTGAATAAGTTAAATGAGAGTCTCCTCCGGCCGAACAAGGCATATTTTTTAAAACAGATGATAATCAAGTCTATAGTTAACAAATTAAAATTGTTTGTTGTGATATTTTTTTAATTCCTTCAATCGACTAAAAGTAGAGACACGAGGACAGAAAGGAGCAAGTTAGGTACAAATGAGGATGATATCGACCTAAAGTTGACAGGTGTTGTTCAAAGTGCACAAAGTTTTTCAGCTCAAACCTGTGATTTCTTCAATATGTTTTCTAATATCTCCAAGTGGTCATGACAGAGAAAATCAACACTAAATTTCTTAGTAATATTTTCCTTTTGTCCAGATTCTCTTGGAAGGTGACTCGCAGGTTATGTAAAATTCCTTCCATACTACGGGGTCCTGTCAAACTAAACTTAGTCTGAGTTTAAGGCTGCACTGTACTTGAACGCTTAGTCCGCCGACTTAGGTTTGCTTCAATTAGTTTGTGTTCACAGAATTACAGCTGAACTAATATACATATGGGCTATTGACCTAGCGTGAGGTCTAGATGGCTGGATATTGGCCAACTTCATTTTTTTCAAAACAAGAACGAGACCAATATCCAGCCATCTTGACTTACCAAGTTTACTCAATAAAGGATTTTTTCGATGGAAAAAGAGCACTATTTTTTTGGCGGGACACAGCGGGTAATCCAGAGCAGGCAAGACAGCGCCATCTTTCACGCTCGGGTAGCCAATAACAGCCTAGGATTCGGTTCATCTTGGCCGGTTAAAAACGCCAACTGTATAATAAACCTATATATCAAACAGTGGTTTATTTTGACCCCACCTTTTCCTTAGGGTGCACGTGTTCTCATTTTCCCATTTTCTTGCTATTTCTAGCTTTAACATTCTGAACAAAACATTCCTTGTCTTTATGTGGATGAAGAAAGAGAACAGAATACAAATGCAAACAAATAAATGTTTCTTTATCAATCCTCCTGCATTTTATTCAAAAAAGGAACCGTAAACCTTTACAGAACACACCCAGTAATCACAGGAACCCCGCATTATATAATTAAGCAATTTATCACCGTCCCATTATAAGCGTTTTGTGCAGGAATGGATGTTTTGTCTCGAGATCTAAGCCTGAGGTTTGGGAACTTCCTCAATAAAGATCCGGGAATTAGAGTACCAGTCCAGTAAACATGGAGGGAAGTGTCAGAGAAGTTCTTGGTGAACACACAGTCCTTTACCAAATAAAAAAAAAAAAGAGAAATGAAAGGGATCGATAACTGATCAAACGGAAACATTCACTTGACAATATCAATAAAAATATTTATGTGTTGTAGAGCAATAGAAATCAATTTAAACTATTTGACAGCACTTAACACGATCTAAACCACCACGAAAATGAAACACAAAGGAAGAAAGGGATGGTGTCCTGATTGCCAGTGTATAAGTCTTGTATAAAGCCTAATGTTTTGCAATAGGATAATCTATCACTAAACAACGCTCACACAATAAGCTTGAGGTAGCTGTGCGTAATGATCTGTTACAAAAACATCACCTATACAACTCAATCACCTTGATCAGACCGTTATCTGTTTGGTCATTCAAGTTTTTCCATGCACACTCTTTCCAGTTCTTGTAAGACATCACACCAGGAGTCCCAGGGTTTCCACTTGTTCCACTGTCTCCGTGCTGCCCCTTTTGGCCGGGGGGCCCCTGGACTCCAGGTGCTCCTTTGGCGCCATTCTTTCCATTGATACCAGGAGTTCCTGGAGTTCCCTGGGGTCCAGTCTTCCCCGGACTGCCCCGGTCACCTTTGGCTCCGTCACGGCCATCACGACCATCACGACCTGGTGCCCCAGGAGACCCAGGCTTGCCATGCATACCAGGGATACCACCATAACATAAAGCAGGAGGCTGCTGGATTGGAATAAAAAAAAGGCCTTAAATATTCGGGATTCACAATCATGAATTTTAACGCTGTTATTTACCAGTCACTCGTATACAGAGTGTTAGTAACAGTGAGGCAATTCTCAAGGAGCAGTACTTTACTACATTTAACAATTATTCGCCAAAGGCAAAGTGAACATTGGTGAATATTCGCCTCTGAAAATTATACTAACAATAAATTTCACCTTAGTTTATTGCTGCGACTAAAAAAAATTAAAATTCAGTAATATTATTTATCTGTTTTTGGAGATTTTTTACTATTCACAAAATACTTTGTTCCACTCATGGAGGGTTAAATTTTACTGCTTCTAAAGTTTAAATTTCGTAATTTTTCTTCCTACTAGAATCAGGCCCCTGTATTTCCCCTTGCTTTGGTTGCAATATTTTAAAATTTTTACAGCGGCGAAGAAAACTACTTTTGTCTATAATGAAGGAAAGCCCCGATTGTTTGCGCCGCTCAGCTGGTTTAGTCAATCAAAGCTATAAATAAGGCAACGTGGACGCATCTGTAATGTCCAAAGTTAAATCAATAGTGTTTGCAACGAAATGTCGTTTTACTCTTACCAGAAATTAACATTTGTCAGGTAACGCAATAACTCACCATTTTGTACGATGGTTGATTGGTTTTGTTATTTGCTCCGGCACAGTACATCAGCAAAAACATCGCCGACAGAGACAACAAGGGCATTGTAGAGACTTTAGGTGAAATGAAGGCCATTATTTTCTTAGTTCTTCGCGATCTCGCTACGAAAAAACGTTTACAACGACCAGATCAGTGCACATTAAAGTAGGGTAACGGTGAGAGGCAAATTCTATTAAAGAGACGTTATTCTCCGTGTTAAAAACTTATAGCGGAATTTTCCGACGTGAAAACGTGTTCTCTCTTTGTAAAAATTTGAATTGAAACTTTGGTTAAGTGGTGCTTTTTTTAGTTTAGTAACGGGGACATTCAAACTCTCTGAAAGCTGTACTTCAAGTCGTCTACTAGCTTCTACTCAAATTGGATTTGTGTTTTTTTATATCAGTGGAAATGCTGCGAAAATTGAATATCGTTTCTCTCACTCAAGACAAATTTCCTCTCAATGGCGAATTTTGAAACGATAGTGCTAGTTTTGAAAGGAAACAGTAGGCAGTTTTTTCCTCATGCTGCTTCTTTTTTTACCTGTGCAAAACAACAACGCATGTGAATGTTTCCCAATTTTTAGCGCCAACTCACAATATTAGTTTTTAATTGGAGAAATTGCCGGTGGCCAAGTGGAGAAATGCATAAAGCTATGTAAACTATAGAGAAGGTATTTTCCTTGCGACCTATTCCCATTTGAAATTAAGAGTGGCATCGAATAATTTTTCTTGATTTTAGAGTTTCGACAAAACTTCCCTAATTGGCAAAGAGACGTGAATTTTTTTGGTGGCATTAAAATACTGAGAAACTATTTAATTTAGTCGTCAGGAGCAGGAAAATTGGAGGAGAGTACCATACCTCGAGGCTCGAAGACAATTGCTTTTCTGTTCCAAGCACTGCTGAACAACTCACTGTAAAGGAATGATAAGTAAGTTACGTGTGCAGTAGAGTTTTTAGCCTTTGTATTGACTTTGGTTCGGGTTTGGATCAGTTTACTGTTGACCATGAGTCGAGCTGTTTCAATAGAACATTACATTACTGATAATATTCATGACAGTTCTTTTGTGTTTATACAATAAGAAAAAATACGATTTTAACTTCCTGTTACGTTGTATCAAACAAATATCACGTTTTTTCTCAGTGTTAAGATTGTGCGGAGTTTTTGTCCAATGGACCTTGCAGTGTTTTCTAAAACAGTGAGAGCGATATGATAACTTTTTACCCTTAGGGATTCGTCGATCAAGAATCTTAGCTTGTCCTTGAAGACTTCAAGTGAAAAAAGAGCAATTAGGTGCCGTCTTGTAAGTCATTTTAATAAAATAAATTGGAAGCTAAGTTGTGCGGTGTTCTTACATAGACAAGGCTCAGAATTTCTTCATGTTCCAGAGAAATTTCGTTGCTTCAACTTTAAGAATTGTGGAAGACTATTCGGCTACGATAACCGAGTGATGCCGCAGGAAGTTCATGATTGTTTTGCCAAAAATGTGCTCTATCAAGGCATTCAATGCAAAAGAACAGTGTGCTGTGAACTGGCGTTAACTGACTCTTTAACTGGAGTAAAATCACACACCTTATTTTTAAGCTTGGGTTTCTCGCCGAAAGTTGTAATCGATTTGCTTAACGCGAAAGAGGACGAAGGAATGTCAGGGGCCTTGACATTAAATCAAGTGAAAAAGCTGAGAAAAATACAACCGAATAAGCTTACACTGCTAGCCGAGTCGCTCCAGCTAGTGTTAACGTCGTTTTGCCTCGAGTAAAATAATTCTCGATAAAACAAGTTTGGGAATAATTATGAGATGACAACTATATTTAGTATCAATTTCCTTACGAGGAATATAATTGGCCTGAACAGTTTGTTCATGTAATTAACCATCAGTGGCCAATAAAATTATGTCTTTCAATCGTTAGTTAACAAATGCGGACCTGTTGCCTAAGTTGATAACTTTGATGTATAATTTTCTTTCCTCATTTCAGAAAATTTGCGCATTTTTATTTCGACACAAAACATAACGGACTTTTGCAACATAACACAAACATAGCAAGGAATTCAGGATGTACCACTCGATTCTTTAACTTGAATGAATAATCAACATCCACAGTTATGAAAACAGATATCGTCAACTATGATTTTTCTTCCGCACATAATGTCTAAATGCTGTCCATATTTCAAATCCTCATGAACTAAAAACAATAATTTTAGCAGTCAGTAAAGGAAACTAATCTCGAAAACTATGTTGAAGTCATTATCACACATCTACAACCTGCATGTAGCCACACTGGACGAATTTTTCAATGAGTGAAAACGACAAAGCTTGAAATAAATCTAATTGGTCCGTTTTCCTTTTTATAAGTTTGTAAACTAGGTGTTTTTTGATGTTTTGATTGATCGACAGGTTTTCTCCTGAAAAAGATTGAAATAAATCCACCACTAACATCAATAAATAACGATTGAATTTACATCATGAAGAACTTTGAACATAAATTTTCAGTTCACTGAAAGTGAAAGTTTCCCGCAAAATCTGCGCTCTATTAGTGATACCACAATAAAAACAATAAACGTGATGGCAAGTGAATTAAACAATAAGAAACGAACAATTTCAAATTTTCAATTTCCAGTCAGTTGCTTTATATCAACAGAAAAAGAGCAGAACTGGCTGTTTAAAAAATTCTGCATTGTGGTATCGCACGATATTACACGAGACGAGCTAGTGTCTGAAATTGCTTCAGCAAACAGCGCTTTATCTGTGGTTAGAACATTCATGGCTACAAAAAATGCGTCTCTGACAGTCAGACAGTATTTAAACCATTTGTAAAACAGTCACTCACCTTTCTAGTCAACTTGCGCGTCTTGAAATGTGCCGACAATAAGAAAGTAGAGAGAAATGTTAGATTTCATTTTGAATCAAATCTAAACGCAGAGAAAATCAGTTTAGTAGCTTACACTGTCAGCCAAGTCACCCTGGTCTTGTTGCTGTTTAGAACACGACTAAAGTGAATCTCGATAAAACAAGTTTGTGAAATAATAATGAGTTAATAACCATTTTTAAAATAGCCTCATGGTTTTATTCTAGCAAGAAGTACTATTCGCTAAAAATGTTCTTTATTGTAGACTATTTGTCCAATGAAATGAAGCCTTTCAATCGTCATCTTGTATGACTGATGAATATCATGAATTTAGCTTTGAAAGTTGGTACAAATTTTTGAAAGCAAAACAAGGCATGATTTTGTGATAGATTAAGTTCCTTGTCACTACTGCTTCTAAGGCAACTGATGCATTATTATTTGATAATGGTAGAACTCTCGTGTCAATGAACCTTTTAAAACCATGATAAAAATGAAAATTAATCGCTAATTTCCGCAACACAAAGAAAATTAAGCGGTGGAAGATTCTCGAATTTAATAGAAACCAGTCAGTGTGTCCACACCAGACACATCATGATGATTCCGACATCGACGCTAAATGTTACGCCCTCGGTTTTCACTTAAACAAAAGGGTTTAATTTGGTAATCTTTGAAGCTGTCTAAATGATAATGAGGCTCAATTACACCGAAAAACACTTGTTTCTAAAACTATGTCTCACAGTTCAATTTCTGCCAGTATGCGAAGGTCTGAGCCATTTCTGTCAGTGATATCTTCTTATATCAACTGCTATTAAGTGGAAGCCGAGTTTGGCCTCTTCTGTAATCCAAGTTTTGTGATTAAACAATAAAATTAATAACAACGGTATGTAAAATAGCCTTAGGAAAAAGAGACCAACCGCGCAAACATAAAGACGATACGGCTTAGCTGTCGAAGACTTGTCGACAAATCGATGTTTAACGAGTTTAAAGTGCAAATAAACTGCCTAGACAAACTGAATAGGTTTCAGGCCCTATTAGAAACTCAATATTTATGCCGGACGGACATTCAAAACCGCACTCTATGATCTAGCGTAACAATATAACGTCGTGTTTATTTTGCAGTCACTTACCTTTTGTATAGTAGTAACATTTTATCTCGCCAAATCTCTAAACAATAACAGAACTGGGTAAAAAGAAGTGAAGCTGAATATTGGATTAATCAAACTGGCTGTGATTAATTGGAATAACGAAGTAGAGAAAAAAAAATCGGTCTTAGCCATCACTGTGAAGTTGTTTTGCCTTCGTGTAATAATAGTATTCCCGACAAAACACGTTTTGAATAAATTTAGCAAATTTTATACGAACAATGTTGTTCAGCAGAAACGGCGGCTTGTTTCTTCGTTTTTTGTTAGTCCTGCTAAAATGCTGACTTTTTGTATGATTGCTTTACAGATAGTTATATTTTTTAACATACTTTCAGTACCTCTATGGAGATTTAATTGCCGCTCAACTGAACAGCAGGCCTGGAAGTGCTTTTCTCGCAATCCTCAGAGCTTGAGCAGTTTAAGAAAATTTCCCACCGGACGTGCTGTATCGTCAAATGCAAAAAAAAAGGCTCTATAAAGGATACACTACTAGAAGCGACTGTAAATGTCAAAACCTTTTATGAGTAGGCCAGAGTCTTCATGCGAAATAAACCCCGCAAAACGGTTGGCGGAAGATGACATAAATTATTTTTCTATTTCTATTGCCTCTTTATATGATGCCTACTTTTCAGTCCTTTCTCCGACATTAACCGCGTGTTTCTTATTAAACGCTCTAATCATTTATCTTTCCACGCGTTCAAGTGCAAATACTGCGAATATTTGCAGTTATAAGTGAATTGTTTGTAATTTTGTGGTGAATATATTTGAGTTCTGTTTGACTGCGTTTTCGGTTCACACAACTTGAGCATAGAATGTAAACAATTCCTGTTAATTAATCATAATTGTCAACTTTACTCACCGTCAACTGTGGATGGGAAACGCGCCGATTTGCAGAATAACTGATTTTCGGTATGGCTTGAAGTAAACTGCTCATCTCTAGAGTCAGCATTAAACGGTATGTTTTTTGTTTTGGTTTTTTTTTTGCGTGGCATGACGCACGTGACTCCAGATTCTCTAGCTTGCGAACAGGTTCCCGGCGAGGGCGGAAAAAAATTCCGGCGAGCGCGAAACAAGAATTCGGAGAGCAAAGTGATCGGGGCGAGGACAGGTGTTCGCGGCTACAATTTCGCGCGCACTCACGTTTTTTTTTTCTCTTTTTTTCTCCCTTCGTGAACAGCTCCACACTACAACTGCGTCTTTGCTCTAAGGATTAACTAATTCCTTCTTGTTGTTGAGGTGTTTAAAGGAAAAGTTGACTATGTCAAATCTACAATCAGAGGAAATAAAAGATTTGCTGCCGCGGCCACTGATCTCAGGGCAAACGTGACGCAAAATAACTTTTCGTCACGGAGTTGGTTTTGTGACGCACAGGCGCTTGTCTTCTTTTTTACAAATTACAAGAAACAACAGCAAATCGTTTATTTGAATGATCATAAATCCTTAAAAAAAAGAACAAAGATAAGCAAAGCAGGACGAAATCTTCTGCGACATAATAGAGTGCTGGCGAAATAAACTTCACATCAGTCACTTAACCTTAATTGCCATTTTTATACTGAAGACACATTATCTGTCTGGACGAGCTTGGGCAAACATTCGTAGTTCGTTTGGATGTGCGTCTCTAGTATAAAGACGGGGACAAGACTTATTATGCGTCTAAACAAACTATTCTTCGAAATACGCCTTGAACGACGCGCTTCGAGAGATTCGAGAGTTCCTCTAGACGCATAATACGTCTTGTGCCCGCCTTTATACTAGAGACGCTCAACCAGACGAACTACAAATGTTTGCCCAAGCTCCTCCAGACAGATAATGCGTCTTTAGTATAAAAACGGCGAGGACGCATTA